CCATTTTCTCCACTCCGCGCCCCCCCCCCCCCAAGCCTCTCCCCACCCTCAGGCCCTTCGGGCACGTTCAGGATGAGCGAGGAGCCCTCCGGGGGCAGCTGCCCGAAGCCTTTGGCTGGACAGAGGGAAATGACTGCGGCCTCCGGGGACCTGGGGAGGTGGGCAGTTCAGAGTGCCCAGGCTTCCGTCCTTGGCAGCCCGTGGGCCATCCATCGCCGTGGACAGGATGATGCACAGCCAGACCCCAGCGGACCCTGCATACATTCCCACACCTTCCTGAGCTCCCCTCCACGCCCGGCTGCCAGTCCTAGCCACTGCGGCTTCCTGAGCTGTTCTGTCTCAATTCAGCCCCTGTGGTTTCTCCTCCATGACCAGTGCGGAGTCATGAGTTAAGAAATCTGCCTACTCTCGGTCACGGTCCTGCCTAATTAGCCGTCTCAGACACGGTGTCAGGGCTTCTCGCTGGGCAGCGGCAGCAGAGGGAGCGGTGTGTCCGTGTTCGCAGTGCGTCACCTTGGCTGTGTGGCGGGCACGGTAAGGACTTCGGTGCAAACTTGCCTCCTTGCTGGTATTTCATCAGTATAAACCGTGCGAAAGCTTGTAGCTGCATTATACTTTGTGTACTCTGCTGCTTTCTGTCTCGTTTTTAATTGAACATTAAGGGAATGCACTATTTATTTATTCATTTATTGGTTAATCCTCATCCAAGCATATTTTTCCATTGATGTTTAGAGAGAGTAGAAGAGAGAAGGAAAGACAGAGAAACACATTGGTTGCACAAGCTCCAACCAGGGCCCGGGCCAGGGAGGAGCCTGCAATAGAGGTGCAATGCCCTTTACAGGAATCGAACCCAGGACCCTTTGGTCCGCAGGACCATGCCTTATCCACTGAGCCAAACCGGGAGGGCGAAGATGCGGCATTTTAATTATAGTTCTGCCAGTAGCTTTAGCTAGAGGCCTGTTGGCTATTTCTGTCCTTTTATGAAATGTTTATCACCAAGAAAGACAGGATTACATTTTCTTCTTCTAGACTGAGTTGGCGCAGTGATTGGTTACTGGTTAATAATGTGGATTTTTTTAAATAATGGAGACAAGATTGTTTGCCTCCAGCACATGGTTGGCCAGGATCTAGCCTGCAACGGAGGGACGTGCCCTTGACCAGAACGGTGATCCTTCAGCCCATGAGCCGACGCTCTATCCGCTGAGCCAAAGGCTAAATCTGAAACTGAGATGGAGGGCAGCATTCAACTTGTAGATCAAATTGTGAAGATTTGATGTTCTAAAAATATTGAGTTTCCTAATATGTGAATATAGCTTTCCATTTATTTAGGTTGTCTTTTCTCTCAACAATATTTTATACCTTTCACCACTGTTTTTTAAAAAAATATATTTTATTGATTTTTTTACAGAGAGGAAGGGAGAGAGATAGAGAGTTAGAAACATCGATGAGAGAGTCATCGATCAGCTGCCTCTTGCACACCCCCTACCGGGGATATGCCTGCAACCAAGGTACATGCCCTTGACCGGAATCAAACCAGGGACCCTTCAGTCCCCAAGCCAACGCTCTATCCATTGAGCCAAACCGGTTTCGGCACCTTTCACCACTGTTCTTATTTTTAATGCTATTGCATCCTGCAATCACCATTATTTTCCATTTTGAATTACACAAGAATACAATTGTTTTATATTGACCCTTTATTTTGTGATCCTGATAAACCTTTTAAAAACGATGGTTTTCCACACACGTGACTAGTCTTCAGACGGACAGATTACTCCTTCCTTCCCGTAACCACCGTGCTGCCCGAGGCCATCACTGCCAACTCGGACCGGTGGTTCCCGGCACCCTGGCCTGGCTCTAACCCAGTCCTTCTGTTTTTCCTTATGAAACTAGTGAAGCTTTTCATAGATGCCCTCTATCAGGTGAGGAACTTCCCTGCCTAGCGTGCTGCTGAGTTTTTACTGTTGAATTCTGCCAAATGCTTTCTTTTGCAAGATCGTGAGCCTTTTCTCCGCTATCACTGTCACAAACTGATTTTAACGTTAAAGCACTTTGCATTCCTGGTGTCAAACTCTTTCCGCCACAAAGCACCCTTTTGCATACTGCTGGGTTTGATTTGCTAATGTTTTGTGAGTCTTCATGAAGGTTACCGGTCTATAGTGTTCTGGCGTATTGCTTTTAAAGTTGCTCACCATGTCACTCTCTCAGAAGTCTTCCAGAAGAGGCTGTGTATGACTGGTCTAGTCTTCTCCTCCGTGTGTGACACAGAACTTATCAGTGAAGCCATCTGTGCCTAGTCTTCCCCATGGGAAGGCTTTTAAACTACAGATTCCATTTGTTTCACAGCTATCGGCTATTTGGGCCATCTGTTTCTTGAGAGAAGTTGGGTAATTTATTTCAAGATATTTGTCCATTTCATTTAATTTATTGGCATAAAGTAGGTCATAATAACCCCTTATCCTTTTTAAAGCAGTTTTAGTTCACATCACAGCAAAACAATGTACAGAACACACGCTCAGCCCCTCCCCCACCGGCACCTGCACCTGGAACCTTGCTACCAGTGATGAACTTTTATTGACACATCATCACCAAAGCCCAGTCACACATTTCTATGCACTGTGACCAACTACAGCACACACAACAGTTCCCCTGCCCCCACAGTCCTCTGTGCTGACTGTTCTCTCCCTCCTTTGTCTCCATGGCTTTGCTTTTCCAGAACGGCATACAGCTGGACTCAGTGAGTAAATTTTCAGGTTCGTTTCTCGCACTGAACATGTATTCAGGGTTTCTCCGTGTCTTTTGTGGCTGATCTCTCCATTATTTGAACATAAGTAATGCCGTTGTCTGGATGTACCCAGTTCCCCCGTTCACTCACTGAAGGACGTGTTGGCTGCTTCCAGTTCTGGGCAGTATGAACTGAGCTGCTGTGAATGAGGTGTCTGAGGGAGCGTAGCTCTTCACTCCTTTGGTCATTACTAAGAAGCCGGATGGTTGGACCAAAGACTAGGACTTAAGTTTGTAAAAAACCACCAAACTGTACCCCAAGTGGCCGCGCCATGCTGCTCCCCCCGCAGGGAGAGGCCAGCTCATCCTTTTAGCAGCTGCAGACTCTCGGAAGGCGCCTCTCCTTCCCAAGGCTGGAGGTTTGCGTCCTTCCTCTTTTGACCAGAGGTTCCCACTTTTGATATTCCTAACCCAGTTTTTGTTTCATTAATTTTCTCTATTTTCATTTGTTTCTGTTCTGATACTCAGTATTTCTTCTAATTCTTTGCTCTAACTTGTTCTTTTTCTATTTTCTTAAGATGAAAGCCTAGACCTTTAACCCTTGTCTAACCTAGAGGCTTAGTGCTATGAATTTGCAAGGACTGCGGTAACTGCAGCTAGTCTTTGCTACGCTTTCATTTTCAGTTAGTTAAAAATAGCCTTTTGCATATATATTTTCTATTTTATTGGATTGAGAGAGAGAGAGAGAGAGAGAGAGAGATAAATATCGATCAGCTGCCTCCCGCATGCCCCTCACTGGGGATTGCACATGTGCTATGACTGGGAATCAAATGTCTGGGTTCATAGATCAACACTCAACCACTGAGCCACATCAGCCAGGCAAAAACAGCCTTCTGATTCCTGCTTTGATCCATAGGGCACTGAGGGGTGTGACTGGTCCACTTCCCAGGCATCTTCATCACTTTTACCTGGTTTCTAATGTGCTTCGTGAGCTGAGTCTGACATCCCGGAAATACTGTCGTGGTTCATGTTCCAGGCGGTCCTGTGGATGGGTGCTCCCTGTGTCAGGTCGGTTCAGTGTTTCCCACCTGTTTCATCGGTACTGAGAGCGGTGTGGAAACCTCACACCTGTAGACGTGTCTCTCGGGAAGGTGGAACAGGCTTGCTGGCTTGTACTTTGAGGTTCTGTTGTTTGGGATTATTTCCTCTTAATGAACTGAGCCCTAACAGCCATCCTTCTCCCTAGCGACACACTTTGCTCTGAAACCGCCTTTGACTAACAAATACAGCTACTCAGATGTCTTGCAATTACTGCTCAGCATGTGTGTACTTTCCCGTCTTTTTATCCAATCTAACAACCTCCGCCTTCTACTAGGGCATTTATTGATTTTACTTGGTTTAAATCTGCCAGCTTGCTGCTTTTTGGTTTTGATTATGTACCCATCTGGTCTTTGAAGTTGAAGGACTGATAAAAAGTTTGGGATACAGATATATTATTCACCAACATGTTCCTAATATGATGCTTAAACTGCTTTGTGACTCAAGATTTTAAAAACTCTTTATATTTGGGCATGTAATAGATACACAGGATTCCTAAATATATATCTAAGTGACATATAAATCTTGACCTCCAGATCCAACAACTCTGCCTGTGTGTTTCACAGGTAACTTAGTATTCAGCTGCACATTCCTTCTGTTCCAACTCCTCATTCAAGCCTAGAAACGGGAAGTCCCTACAGTTAGAGCTGCACACTGGCCACAGCTGAATCCACGTTTATTCTTACCATGCATCACAGATACAGAGCAGACCCGAGGCTCCACTACAAAAAGGTAAATAATTAAACGGATTCTTTATTTTAAATGTCTATAGTACCATAATTCATCAAAATAATTTACAGTAGTTAACCGCCTCTTAAATATGATCTTATAAACAACGTGTGGATCCAGTCAGTTTGTTTAAAGTTAACTAGTCTGCTTGGAAGTCTTCTAAGAAAGGAAATCATGACACTCTATTCCATTAAAAGGGATTAAAAAGAAGCATAAACTAATTTGAATAGACCTAGCACTTTCCAGGGTATAATCCTCTGTATAAACCTGACTCTTTATACTGAAACTGTATTCTGATTTCCTTCCATTAAGAAATTCCTTAACAGCGGCCAACGTCACGTACTTCTTCACTGCTGATGGTCCCTGGGGGCTCCGATACAGACGTAGTGTGTCTGCTGTTTCACCTCTGCTGACCTTCCCAGGACACGCTTCCCCTCAGCCACCGCATCCACTCAGCCTTCCAGATGCCACTGCTGAGAGGCGGAGCCGTCACAGATCGCCATAGCAACATAGCCTTTGTGACTCAGCGGATCCACCGCTTTCAGGCACTGTCCCACTGACACCTGGTACAGCCGATTATTCTTCTGAAAAATGAAAAAAAGAGGTAACTTACAACACTTACTATCCAAGTAACTTACAACACTTACTATCCAAATAACAAAGATGACACAGTAATCCAGAGATGTGGAGTACTTACCACATTGCGGACAGATCATAAGAATTATCACTTCTTATCACACAGTGTTTTACAAAGTATCACTCTTTAAAAGGATATTAGATTGTAAGAACAAGTAATAAATTAGATTGTAAGAACAAGTAATAACTTCAAAATGCAATGGGTATTTAATTTTTATGTGTGCCTTTCACATTTACGTAAAACGCTTTTGTACTTGTTCAATACAAACCGATCTGGCCCCTGGGTAAAGCAGCAATAAAACTCCTGGCCCGCTGTGTGGAAAGAGTAAGCACAGGAGGCTACAAGCTCAGAGACCTTCTACAAGGCAGACTCAGCCTCCTCCTCCTCCCTGAGCAAGCGCCTCACCCCAAAGGTCCACTGCTGGGACCCTCCCGACCCATGGCACTTCATCAGTCGGGGGGGGTCAGATGATCGTGTTTCCGACATATCCAGGCAAAGGAGATTGCTTAAAACCAATTCGTGCTCTTCATTATAAATCCAGACCTAAGGAAGAAGAGAAAAGATCAAAACCCCAAGGCCTATTACCCTCAGCAGTCAAAGAAAAAAATCCAAATTGGAAAGGAAGAAAACTCAGAATTATAGATGACATGCCATTACATTCAGAAAGCCCTAAAACTCCACCAAAACTGTTGTGCTTTACATACCCATAATGAATCCTCATAATGAAATTAAGAAAATAATGCCATTTATAATAGCAAAGAAATAAAGTATCTAGGAATAAATTTAACCAAAGAAATAAAAGGCATACAATCTGCAAACTGTAAGACACGGATCATGTTTCCCTAAGCTAGGGAAACAGAAGAATAAAAAACAAGTGGAACTCTATCAAAGCAACAAAGTTTATGCACAGCAAAGGAAAACACCATTTATGTTAAAGCAGTTTTGCATCCCTGGCGTCAAACTCTCTTTTCACCACATATCACTCTTTTTGCGTATTTGTTGGACTTGATTTGCAAATGTTCAAGAAGAAACTTACTGAATGGAAGACGATATATGCAAATGACACATCAGATAAAGAGTTAGTATCCAAAAAATAGAAAGAACTCATACAACTTAACAACAAAACAATCCGATTTAAAAACGGACAGAGGACATACAGATGGACAACAGTGCTGGCGAAGATGTGGAGAAAGGGAGTCCCGGTGCTGCTGGCGGGATGTGAATCGGTGCAGCCGCTCTGAAGATAGCAGGGAGGTTTCTCGGGAAATCAAAATAAAACTAATATGGCCCAGCAATCCGCTTTTTGGGTATTTATCCAAAGAAAACAAAAACTCGAACTTGAAAAGATATCTGCAGCCAAAAAATATGGAGGCGACCTATATGTCCATCAATAGATGAATGGATAAAGAAGATTGGCACATATATACAATTCAGCAATAGAGAATGAACCTTGCCATTTGCAATTACAGGGCTGGACCTAGAGGGCATTATGCTAAGTGAAATAAGTCAGACAGAGAACACAAATAACTCATGATCTCACTGGACTAAACAAGAAAACAAGAGCAGATCCTTAGATACAGAGAAGCGGAGGCCGCCAAAGAGGAGTGTTGTGGGGCGAGGGGAGAGAGGTGCTGTTCCTTTGCCATTTCTCACAAATTCACATAACTTTCAATTCATTCTGTATAACTGGAACGGTTCGATAATCCTCTAAACAAACAAAATGCAGCTATGTCTGCCCTCCCTTCACTGAGGTCGCCCCTCAGGGACCGGCTGAGAACAGGAAGGCACCGCTCACCTGGTTTGGGTCACTGTAGTCACAGGCCTTCAGCACCACTAGGCCTCCCTTCTGACTTGGGCGGCTCTGGGCCACCAGACACTTGCCAGTCTGGAGGTGATAAAGCTGGAAGAGAAAAGAATGCTCGTGAAACCCAGCATCGAAGGAAGATAAGCGCTAGATGAGGAGGCGTGGGATGAAATATGAAAATATTATTCTAGCAGAATGAATCCCATGTCATAAGAGCATTTTATATTCCTAAATTCTAGCTTTGGCACAGAGGAACATTACAGCAGACTTCAAGGTCACAGGCAATTTAACAACATATGCAAGCAATGTCACATGGAGCTTCTACCTAAAGTTTTACTTGTCTCCTATAAGCAAGGAAGAAAATCAAACTACCATTTTAGCACTAAAAAATATACTGGGGAAATGAGAACAAAGGGATGAAGCCAAGCAGAACTATGTAATTAATGTACTATACATGCTAAATGGAGGTAAATACAGTTTATAATTGCCACGGGAATTCTAAGAGGGAGATGCATAGGGGAAGAAAAGCACGAGTCTCAGTACAAGAAGCTGTGAGCACCACGTGGGATACGTACAAGGCGAGAAGAATGTAAGGAGGGATCACATGGGCATACACTGGTACCTAATCTTACTTTAGCAGAAAACACCTAATAACATCCTGATGGTTTTTTAAATCTTAGAAGGGGAAGCTCGAGGCTGGACTCTGGCCTTGTAGTCTTGGCACTGCGGAAGCACCTGGAGGGGGGCGCCTTCTTTGTAACAGAAGAAACTGGCAATGATTATAGCATCCGACAGCTCACCAAAAGGAAATTCTGAGGAGCGATTCAGGAAATCGTAAACATTTCTGCCTAGACCCTCAACATTTAATTGTGAAGAAATTCCTAAAGGAACAAAAGGGAACATCTAAACAAATGTGGTTGGTCAGTGGGTTTCTGCTCAGTTCAGATCATCGGATATGAAATTTCAGCTTGTGCCAACACTTAGACCCTAACCCACCTTTACTTTGTCTGCAGTCAGTTCCCGGAGCTGAGGTCAAACAATACACAGCTGCCCAATTTCTCCTTTTGTTTTCCTAATTATCAGGTTTCTGCCGAACACTCATATTTATAGCTACCTACAGGAGTCAGGCTCTTAACACTGGCAGTAAAGGGTCACAAATAGGGAAGATATTAAACTGTCTAAGGCCTTACACCTGAGTTGAGGAAATTTCATAAAAACATAAGACAAGCTAAAGCCTATCATTAAACATGTTATGTCTATAATGTCACTTATTATATCATAAACATTAATGAAACACTCTGGTAAGAGTTCTTCCTTACCCTTCCGCGCTGGAGGATCTTAGGGCGTTTTGGCCCCCTGTTGATAAAAATGGGTTGCTGGGGCTTGGCGTTGGGTCCAGATACCTGCATCTCTGGGTAAATGTTATCCAGATACCACTTAAATGATTTACAGCCCAACTTCTTCCTCAGTTCCACGCGCTCACTGACATTCCCATAGCTTCTTGTCCTCAGATCAGGTCTTAAGGAAAAATACTGCTCCTGAATTTAAAAAAGTAAATTGAGAAAAGGAATGGATCTTTTTGTTAAAATAAATATAATCAATTATATTTAAGGTTTAAAGAACTGAAAAAAATGGATGAGCAAAAATATTTTTCATGACTGTGTTTTCTTGATGTTAACAAAATGTCAGAAAGTTTTTACACAATTAGTTCCATAATTATAAGACATTATTAACCTAACAACTATATATGAGAATCCAGCTCTGTGCACCTGCCTCTGGAGTCCCCTAGCCCCTCACTCCCCAGCCACCCAGGGCCAGCCTGAGGCACAGGCAAGCCTCGGATGGTGGTTTCCCGAGGCTCAGGTAACCAGCACTGGGCTGCGGCTTGCACTGCCGGCAGTGGCAGCAGCAGAGGTGTGATGGGGCGTCACTTTTCCCTGATCGCTGGGTCACCTCCCGCCCGAGGGATCCAGGACTGTGGCGGGGCAGGCCGGGCTGATGGACCCTCCCTCCAGTGCATGAGTTTTCATGCACCGGGCCTCTAGTGAAAAGATAAAACAAAAGGCAATATGTTCACAATGGATTATTTTTCACAATAAAAAGGAACTGATATATGGTATAATATGGATGAAACTGACATCATTTAAATGAAAAAAGATGGTCACAAAAGGCCACATCCTGCGAGAATGAGGCGGCCAATTACTGGGTGTCTAGTAGGAGGGGTGATGGGGTGGTAAGATATTCTTAAAAATTGTTTGTGAATTATACCTCAATAAAGCTATTGCAAAGAAAATAATATTGCATGTTGCATCTAACAGAGAAGATGACCTGAAGGATACGACATGAGCAGAGTCAAAGGAAAATTAAGATCAAAACAGAAAAGAGTGATCCCTAGGCAAAGAGAAGCGAGAGAAAAGGAACCTACGAGGAGATGGTCCCCACAGGAATGTGCCAGAGCAAAAAGCAACCAAAGCCACCCCCAGAGGAGGGGCCTAATCCTTCCTTCTCACCTTATATTCGTCCAGCCAAACGTGTGCCAGCCTCAAGGAGTTGTGTGTCATGGTGTCCTGGCCTTCGGGGGAACCGTAGGGTCGTCTTTTCCGGAAAATGTGTCCAACTCTGGAGCAAGGGATGATGGAGAGCTTACCCCCACACATCCAGATCTGGTCAGAAGCAAAGCATGTGTCAACAGTTGCCTCACAGTGCTGTGAAGTCAGTGTATGGCTTGTTGTGAAACTAATTTTTGTTACACAGCTGTTAGTAGGACTTTGCAAGATGCTTTATCTTAATAGATGTAACTATTCAAATAGAAGAAAGTCAAAGGCTGTATTAAGTAAACTCTTAAACAATGTAATATTCTTTTACTATCACACACTGTTGTTTTACTAGATCAAGAAACTTGATCTTCAGGACGTGGGGACAAGGAATGCTTAAAAGGTGCTGTAATTTTAGTTTTACAGGTACTTTCTTATAAAATGTGTATATATGTATTTTTTAAAGAAAAAAGTTGTATAAAATATATAGAATAACTCAATAGTTAAGATATAAAAGATCTTGGTTTTGGTTTAAATTTTATTTTAGATTATGAGTTACTTTATACAGTTATTTTAATTTTTGTGGGACCCAATTACCTTATTTACAAAATAAGACTGAACTAATGTCCTTTCAACTTTAAAATTCAAAAGATTATGTAAGAAAAGCTGCCTTGTAAAAATACTGTGGTCAATACATTTGCAGAAATACAAACTGACATGCACAAGGCTCTGTACTACTGTCTGAGTGTTGATTTGCGATCTGGACCAGGAGATGGGAGTGGGTACAGGACTTCTGAGTTCTTTCCCTGCCCCTCTCTTCTTCCTCAGGTTGGAGGTACTTGTATATGAAAGGGATTCAGTAAGCTATCCATGAGCTGATGAATAATGTCATATAAACTGGGCTACTTCTAAAAGTGAAATGGGAGCTATTACTAATTTCTCTAGGGAAACACCGTGAACCAGATGGTTTTGGGCAATTGGGAAATCTGATCCCAACTATATACAGCAAGACTATATTAAATGCTCATTAAGTCCTCTGAATTGATACCCAATCATTCATTTTTGAATTCTTATAAATATAAGGCTTTTGCCCTAACCGGTTTGGCTCAGTGGATAGACCATCGGCCTGCAGAGTAAATAGTCCCAGGTTGGATTCCAGTCAAGGGCATGTACATTGGTTTCAGACACATCCCTAATGGGGGGTGTGCAGGACTCAGCTGATCGATGTTTCTCTCTCATCAATGTTTTTAACTCTCTATCCCTCTCCCTTCCTCTCTGTAAAACCCAATACATTAAAAAATCATAGCCTTAAAATAAACAAACAAACAATAAAAGGCTTTTTATATGCTTTTGACATTCTGAATGGCTACTACCCATATCTCAGATGATGGCAAAGTAGGAATCATTAAGGGTAATTTCTTTTTTTTTTCTTTTTTTTTAAGGGTAATTTCTTAGTAAAGATAAAGGAAATTTACAGATAATACGGGATCATGGGTGAAAATTATATTTCATTACATACAAACAACAAAGCATGCAAAAAAATAAAATTACCCGAAATGATATTTCCAAGTTTTCTCCTCCCCAGATATCCATGCCACTGTCATATTGCCCAAGTTCACTGAAGTAGCTTCTATTCATGGCAAACAGTCCTCCAGCCATTGTAGGTGACCTAGAAAAGGAAAATAATTACTGTATCAATTCCATAAATTAGCTACTCTTTCAACTATAACAAAACATGGCTTATCGAAAATCAAGGGAGGAGCTGGACCACAGATCACTAGTGATCTACTAGACAACTGGTAAGTGAAGACTGTTTTCCTCAGTACCAAAAGGACTGTTTTTATTATAACCATTGTTGACAGAAATTATTTAATTCCCTTTTGGCAATCTCAGAGCCACTGGGATAAACACTGGACTCCAGGGCCTGTCAAGGTGAGACCAGATAAACCCACCACTTTTAACTGGACTCAAACACGTGTTAGAACAGTGGCTCTTAAGTAGTGATTCTGTCCCCCAAGCAAACATTTCTCTATCTTCCGGAGACCTTTCAGCTGTCATATCCGGGTAAGGCTGCTACTGGCACCTGATGGTGCCAAAGACTTTATCAGGCCCCAAAGGCCAATCCTGTCAAGCCTGAGAAACCTGTGTGAGTGAGAGGGAAGCGGAAGGCCTCTTTCCTGAAACTGGGCGAGTGATCATGGATTCTAATGTCCCACCTGCCAGCCACAAGTAAAGCACAAAGTCTATGCAAGAAGAAAACATCTCACCAGGTATGAATGTATTTCTATAATTTTTCATACACAGAGTTTGGGGCTAAAATAAACAAGCAAACAAATAACCAAGCAATCAAGAAGCTAAGAAAGAAAAACAAAAAACCAACTACAATAAAACGGATATGCAAGGGTGTCAAATAATAATCAGGCAGATATTTAAAAATAACTTCAATATGTTCAAGCACAAAAGATGAGCGTTTAGCAGATAATTAGATATTATATAAAAAGAAACCAAAGTTGTGCCTATCTGAAAAAAAACACTGACAAAGACAAAGAAAACGTAAGCAGCCAATAAAAGAGATTAACTTCCAAGGAAACAAAAATAAGATTGCTTCTGATGTCTCACCAGAAGCAGTGGAAGCCAGAATGTTTTAGAATGAAACTTTCAAAATCCTGAAAGAATGTATCTGCCAACCTAGAACTGGGTATCAAGCAAAATAATTCTTCAAAATAATGGTGAAACAAAGACCTTTTCTGAAAAAGGAGTTATCACCAGAAGGTCCAACCAAAAGAAATACTTAAGTGTGTCAGTCAGAATGAAAAGACTCCTAAACAAAAATCTGCAGATGCAGAAAGAATAAAGAGTAACATGAGAAATATGTGGGCAAACCTAAACCAATCATGTTTTATAGGATAAAATATATTTATACACACATATACATTTCAACAATGTGACTTGAGGAGGGATAACTGGAATATGAGCATTCTTAGCTCCTTGAATAGTTTGGAGGAAGTACCAATTTATATTACACATTGGTAAGTCAGGAATGTATGCTGTAGTCTCTAGAATAGACACTAAAATAATCTACGCTAATAAAAGAGCAATATGCAAATTGGTTGGGATGCCCTCCCGGTGGGGCGACAAAGCTGGCAGGGGGGTTGGTGAGGGACAACCAAATGACTGATCAGCAGGCTGCAAGGGGGTACCAGGCTGGCAGTGGGGGGCAGTTGGGGGTGACCACACCACTGGGGGGGGAGGGTAGTGAGGGGCATCCAGGCCAGCAGAAGGGGGCAGTTAGGGATGACCAGGCCAGCAGAGGGGGGGCAATTGGGAGCGACCAGGGATAAGTTTGTGCTTTTACTGGGGATCAAGCCTGCAAACTGGGCATGTGCCCGAATTGGGAATCAAACCTCCTGGTTCCTGGGTTGACACTCAACTGCTGAGCCACACCGACTGGGCAGCACTCATAACTTAATGGACAAAGTAAACCAACACTTGTGCTTCTTGCAAAGAAGAAGGAATTATCTCTAAAAGGTTTTTCTCTTCTGAAGAACTGGTGGCGATACCCAGGAGAAAGCTTACTTTATCGGCGCAGCAGCTCCTTCTGGCCCTCCGAGCTCGGAAAGGGGAACCAGGTCCCATTTGAAGTGCAGGCCCCAGTTGAAGCCTCCACGCACCACAGGGGACGAGCTGTAGGCCAGCGTGTCCGCACTGATGATGTCGATCACCGGGCACACGACCGTCCGCCGGTCCTCCCGGATGGCCGCCAGCAGGGGCTGCAGCCACATGACGTTCACCTCGCAGTGGCTGTCCAGGAACACCAGGACCTCCCCTAGGAGCAAACGGCAGCTTTACACACTCATCTCCCGCCACCACTCCTCCGGGGCCCCGCTGTCCTTCTGCCGGGTTTAGCTGGGACTTCATGCTTAGACTCTTCTCCCCTCCTCTTCTGCCTGACCTACTCGAACTGAAGCAAACCGATAAAAAGCGAGAACTCCTCTCCCTGCCGCCTGCAGTCACGTGCAGACTGAACTCAAGGCTCATGGCTTTCCTCCCACTTAATTCTACTCACTTACTGCAAGCAACAAGACAAGAATTACGGAGCATTTGTGGGGAATGGCAAAATTATGCCATTCGAAACACTGTATTGTTACAACATGTTACGGAGAGCTTTACTTCTCAGAGTCCAGTGATCATTTAGCTTTTTTCATTATGATCTGTCAGATATCAGCCAGTTTTGAGATAGTCTCAGGTTCAATGTGACTATATTGAACTGTATTTTGTTAAATTGAAAAAAGGTAACATGTATAGAATTTTAAAAAAACTATCAATAAACACTGATTTAATTGACTTCCCCCCCGCACTGACTGATGATGGACGGGGGAAATTCTGCCTTTCTGTATTTGTTGACACCTGGCCGGCTGTATTTATGCTCTCTGGTCCTCACCTGGTTGTTCAGACACAGAGTTATGTGACTAACTCACTGTCATCATAGAGAAGATGGTATTTGCCTGTGGTATTTCTGCTATAAATAACTGAAATGGGATGATATTGGTGCTTTAGAAGTCAGCGGTCGCCACTGGTGGTCCATGAGGTCTGAAAGGTTGGCGGCCGCTGCTTTAAGTGGTTCGTGTGAAATCTATAGTGAAACATTTCATAGGTAAATCTTTAGAATAAAAATGGTATCTGATGAGTCCGGTTATCATTTAACTTCTAGGAATGACCAGGAAGTTATTGAAGATCTTATCAAAGAAACCCTTATTTCCACTCACATTTATCAAGAGGAGTTAAAAATGTCTAAATTTTTAAAAGAGTTATGAATATGATTTCTGTGTCCCTCAATCATAATAGTATATTCCAGGCAAATTTCCTAGCTGAAAGACATCCCTGTTTCTGACTTGGGGTAAACTAATGGTTTGTTTGGGCTGGGAGGATCCGACTAACTGGCAGCAGTACCTAAATTACCTTCATGATTTTGGGGGCCACACCCATGCAGACATGCAGTATTACTAATATCTTTAAGTAAATTCATTTAACTTGAATTTATTTTAAAAGGACATTTTTTTTACCAAGACCAGAAATGACAATCAGGTTCACCAATCTTACACAAAGGTAACCATCAGAAGAAATACAATGGTACCAATATAATGTAACTGAAGACTAACCAGGTATATGTTCAGCAGAGGATTCTGAATTTGGTACCCGTTACTTCTTTTTACGAGTCAAGATAGGTGTAAACTGGAAAGTTTTTAAAAAATATAGTGGTAGTAATGGAGACTTTCTCCTTGATAGACTTAGGAAAATTACCAGTAAGAGGAAATTTTTAAAGAAAATGTCTTTGTTTTTTATTGATTTTAGAGAGAGAGAGAATGGAGAGGGATAGATAGAAACACTGATGAGATAAATTGGCCACCTCCTGCAATCCCCCTACTGGGGATCAAGCCCACAACCTGGGCATGTCCCCTGACTGGGAATTGAACTGGGGACCTCTTGGTTTATGGATCAATGCTCACCCACTGACCAACACTGGCCAGGCTGTAAGTCAATTTTTCATCAAACAGTTTAGGCATATATATATTCTGTTTTTTAAAAATTATATAACTTATGCTGCATTTTGGTTTGGCCTCTTCTGCTTATATACTCGTAAGTGAAGAAGATGCAAATATATTTGAGGGGCAGTAATTAACAATAGGGACCTTTAAGAAAATAGGCCTGAGGACTCTGGAGTTCGCCTCCTTGTAGTCTGTGCTTTGGGACACAGAGTTGGAGTTCATCTCTCCCACTGGCAGTGCCCACATAAGAACCACTTCTCAGGCCTCCGCAAAGCGAGCAAAGGCACCAAGGACAGCCCTCACTGCTCAGCACCACCCACAACACCCAATGCGAAGTCATACCTGTTGCATGAGCTGCTCCTATCATTCTTCCCCGAATTAATCCCTCACGTTTTGTATTTCTTATTAACTTAATTTTCCCAGTGAGGTGTTTTTGGACAAATTCATCTAATTCTCCTTTCAAATCATCTGAAAATAAAAAGTCCCATAATTATTCAAACCACATGAGACACATATAAAAACATTTCATAGCTACTCTAAGGTTGTATCTGGTACTTCCCACAACAAATTGTCAAGTAAATATAGAAACTTCTGTTCTATTTTAAAACATTGTGATTTATCTGATAAAGTGAAAAAAGGGAAAGAAGTGAAGGGTAGGGAGGGAGGATTCAAGATGGCTGCACAGGTAAACACCTAACCGCGGCCGCACACAACAATTTCAATAAAATACAACTAAAATACAAAATGGACATTACCCAGAACTACAGGAAAGTCTACTGACTGGAAATTCTACAATGAGAAGGAAAGAGAAAACCAGAAGGAAAAGCAGAGGAGCTGTAAAAGCCTAAGGTACGGAGACATGCTGTGCACATGGAGAGGACGAAGCTGGAGAAGAGGGGCAGCTGAGTGCCTGGCTGGCATTCCCTAACGAGGAGATAAAAGCTCCGGATTGGGCCGAACCCCAAACCCGACAGTGCTGAACCCCAGTTCTAGGCCAGACCCTGGGGACCCAGGCTCATACAGAGGTAGCCTGGGCTGTGAGGCGGAATATCAGGGGAGTGGCAAAAGGCAGAGACCCTGGAGGCGCGCACATTGCGCGCAGAGGATGGACTGTTGACTGTGGCACTGGATTGCCCTAGTGGGAAGGAGACAAAAGCTCCGGACTGTGCTGAGCCCCAGTTCTGACTGCACTGAACCCCAGTTTTAGCCCAGACCCCAGGGACCCAGGCTCATACAGAGGGAGCCTGGGCTGTAAGGCAGAAACCCGGGGGAGCGGCGAAAGGAGGTCCCGAAGGCGCACACATTACGTGCAGAGAACGGGCGGTTGGCTGTGCCGCGGGATTGCCCTGGCGGGCAGGAGACAAAAGCTCCAGACTACTCTGAACCCCACTTCCAATCCCACTTCCAACTGAACTGAACCCCAGTTCCGAGCTCATTGGGGGAGAGCCTAGACTGTTTGGTAGCAGGCGAAACTCAAGGGCACCTTTCTCTCAGAGGTGCTTGCAGCGAGTACCAAAGGACCCTGAGGAACACTGAGACTCAGGAGCCTTAGAAGGCGTGGCTGATGGAAGCCAAGGCTGTAGGCTCCACCCCGAAACTCCGCCCCATCCAAGCTGAACACAGAGACTTTTAAGGCTACCAACTCAGGGAAGCTGCGAAAATGCTGACAAGAAAACAGATCACAAATAAAAGAAATGGAAGACAAAAAGCGACTGGATATAGAGTTCAAAACCACTCTTATAAGTTTTTCAAGAATTTCCTAGAAAAGGCCGATAAGACCGATGAGGATATGAAAAGGGATCAACTAGAAATAATAAGGGATCAACAAGAAATAAAGAATACATTGTCTGAAATAAAAAATATTATACAGAGTCCTAAAAACAGAATGGAAGATTGCAAGAATCAAGTCAAAGATTTGGAACATAAAGAGCCAGAAGACACTCCTCCGCAGAAGCAAGAAGACAAGAGAATCCAGAAAGTTGAAGATAATGTAAGAAACCTCTGGGACAACTTCAAGCGAACCAACATCAGAATTATGGGGGTCCCAGAAGATGAGAGAGAGCAAGATATCGAAAACATACTGAAAGAAATAGTGACAGAAAACTTCCCCCACCTGGTGAAAGAATTAGACTTACAAGTCCAGGAAAGCGCACAGAACTCCAAACAAAAGGAATCCAAAGAGGACCACACCAAGACACATCATAATTAAAATTCCAAGAGCAAAAGACAAAGAGAGAATATTAAAAGCAGCAAGAGCAAAGCAGGGAGTTACCTATAAAGGAGCACCTATACAATTGTCAGCTGATTTCTCAACAGAAACCATGCAGGCCAGATGGGAATGGCAAGAAATATTCAAGGTGATGAATAATAAGAACCTACAGCCAAAGATAATCTATCCAGCAAAGCTATCACTCAGAATCGAAGGCCAGATAAAGAGCTTCACTAATAAAAAAAAGCTAAAGGAGTTCATCACTGCCAAACCAGAATTATATGAATTGCTGAAGGGGGTTCTTTCAGAAGAAAAAGTAAATAAAGATAAAAACTATGAACAACGTAACTATACGTAACTATCAACAAGTGAATCTAAAAACCAAGGGAATAAAAAAAAAATCTGATGAACAATATTAACTGGTGAATATAACAGAATCAGAGGTATGGAAGCGGAGTGAACTGATGTTTCTCGGGGAAAAGGGGAGAGGGGGGGTGTGGGAAGAGACTGAACATAATCTGTGCACCTATGGATGAGGACAATGGGGGGTGGGGAATGGGCAGAGGGTGGGGTGGGAACCTGGTGGAGGGGAGCAATGGGGAGGGGGGAAAGGGGAACATTTGTAATAATATGAACAATAAAGATTAAAAAAAAGAAGAAGAAGAAAGAAATGAAGGGAAGGAGTTGGAATACCAGCCAAGAGAAATACTTACCTTAATTATACACTTATTTATATTTTGCAGCAAAATGGTACAATGCTTTGCATAAAAAATGTTTGAAAATGAATAGAGTCAATATTCCACTGATAAATCAGATTTAAAACGAAGAAAATGGGATGTTAAGTATCTTTTGTTTGAAAGTAATTTATCATGTCTTACTCCATTTCAGAACAATTGAGAAACAACTTCTATGGTCCCTACCAAAAACTATATAATAGCAGCAGTAAATGTGCCTTTATTAGTTTAGGGCCTTCCTAGGGCGGTAACTTCTGGTACTTAGTAGATGGCTTTTTGTTTGTTGATGGTTTCCTTGGCTGTGCCAAAAAGTTAGATTGATGTAGTCCTGTTTAGTTTTTCTTCTTTCTCTTGCTCGAGGAGACTTGCCCATTACTAAGAGCAACATCAGAATTTACTGCCAATGTTTTCTTCTAGGAGTTATGATTTCAGGTCTTACATTTATGTCTTTAATTCATTCTGAATTTTATTCTTATACTAGAGGCCCAGTGCATGAAATTCATCAGAAGAAGGGGAGGGGCGGGGAGGGGGGGGTTGTCCCTCAGCCCAGCCTGCAGCCTCTCCAATCTGGGACCCCAAAAGGGACCTTCATTTTTTCCTCCAGGAGTGTGGTGGAAAAACCTTAGATCACCTTCTTGGATTTGTATAACCCAAATTACCAAAACACTGCAAGTGGTGGCCTACAGGGAGCTTAGCCAATGAGCTGTCAGAGAAGGTATTTAATCTCAAACTGGTTTGGCTTAGTGGATAGACCGTCAGCCTGCAGACTGAAGGTCCCAGGTTTGATTCTTGTTAAGGGCATGAACCTTGGTTGTGGGCACATCCCCAGTAGGGAGTGTGCAGGAGGCAGCTAATCGATGTTTCTCTCTCATTGATATTTTCAACTGCCTATCCCTTCTCCCCTCTTCTCTGTAAAAAAAAAAAAAAAAAAAAAAAAAAAAAAAAAAAAAAATCAGTAAAATATATTTTTAAAAAGGTGTATCCTCTGCAGCTCATGCAGCCCCTGGGTTGTGTTCACTGGGCTAGGGGCGTGTCCCTGCCACTGCATGGTGGCTGCACACCCTAGAGGCCAGGAGTGGAGGGTGGTGGGCTGGGGGCGTGGACATGAACCTCCACTTGGTGCCAGAGCTCAGAAAGCCACTGGGGGCGGGGTAGGGCAGGAACATCCCTGTCTCCAGCCCTACCATGGGCCCCAGGCTGGGGGCACGCAGGGACCCTGGGCAGCATGCAGCCCACCAGAGGCCAGCAGCCAGCCCCGTCGTGGGCGCCTGGCTGGCGGCGTAGACCAAAACCGCTGCTTCATGCGTAAGCCTTTGCAAGTCGCTGGGGGAGGGGCAGGAACATAGCGACTCGGGGATGTTCCTGCCCCAGGCTGCTTGGTGCCTGCACCCATAGGCTCCGAGTGGCCAGGGGGCATTCTAGGAGCCCTGCCACTCAGGACCTAAGCGTGGGCCTACAGGACAGGCGTAGCCTGGGTATGGAGGATGTTTCCGTGACCCAGGCTGCTCAGCACCTGCATATGCAAATTAAACACCATCTTTGTTTGGGTTAACTTGCATATTCACTGATTGGCTGTAGGCATAGCAAAGGTACAGTCAATTTGCATGTTATTAGATCGGATGTGATTAAAGGTGATCTAGTTCTTTTTTTTTTTTTTTTTTGCATGCAGCTGTCCAATTTTTCCAACACCATTTATTGACTAGACTGTGTTTATCCCATTGTATATTCTTACATCTTTTGTCATAAATTGACCACATAAATGTTAGTTTATTTCTGGGCTCTCCATTCTGTTCCATTGATCTATGTGTCTGTTTTTATGCCAGTACCATACTGTTTTGATTATTATAGCCTTGTAATATAGTTTGATTTCCAGCAGCATGATTACTCCATTGCTGTGGCTATGCAGGGTCTTTAGTTGTTCCATATAAATTTTAGGTTGATTTGTTCTAGTTCTGTGAAGAATGCCTTTTGTATTTTGATAGGGATTGCATTGAATACATAGATTAGTATAGACATTTTAACAATGTTAATTCTTCCCATCCACGAATATAGTATATGCTTCCATGTATCTGTATCTTCTTCAATGTCTTATAATTCTCCAAGTGCAGGTCTTTTACTTCCTTAGTTAAAATTTTATTGGTTTTTATTGAAAAAAGGAGAGGGAGAAAAAGATAGAAACATCAATGATGAGAATCATTGATTGGCTGCCTCCTGCACACCTCCACTGGGGACTGAACCCAAACCCAGGCAAAGTCAACAGTTACTCCCCTTTTCTCCTTCCTCCAGCCTCTGACAATCACTAATCTCTTTCTGTCTTTTTAAATTTGTCTATTCTAGACATTTTACATAAAAGAAATCACATAACCTGTCAGGGACTGAAACCATGACCTCCTGGTTCATAGATCAATGCTCAATCACTGAGCCACTGCAGCCAGGCTTCCTTTGTTAAATTTATTCTTAGGTATGGGAAATAAATTTAATGCAATTGTAAGTGGGATTTTTTTTTTTTAAATCAGCACATGAATTTAATGAAATTTAGGTAAAAGACAAATGGGAAAATTTGCAATGTGGGTGAATCAAGGTAAGAATAATGAAACCAACTGGTCAATCTTTACATCACCAAAAATGCAACAGATATGTGCTTTTTTCAGTTTACATTCAATGTTATTATGTATTGGTTTAATGTACACAGAATAGTGGTTAGATAACCATATACTTTACAAAGTAGCCCCTAAATATCTGAAGTATCCAGCTGGTACCATACATAGTTATTACAATATTACTGACTATATTCCCTATGCTGAACTTTACATCCCCATGACTTGTTTGTGACTACCAATCTGTACTCAGTCTCTTCCCTTTGTCTCTGCCATTTCCTCCAGGCTCAACATGGCTTCCTCTGTATATCCTTAGTTATAAGACTTCTGTTCAGCTAGTCTTCCTTTGGTTATTCAGGTTGACTGTTCTGTAATTTACTTGTAATTCCAAGTTGGTCCTGGGAGGCAGCAAGTGTAGCCATCTTGGAACAAATCCCAATGGAATTGTTTTCTTTTGGTTTGTTGTTTTGTTAAATCTCACCTGAGAACATTTTCCCAATGATTTTTAGAGAGAAACATCTATTGCTTGCCTCTTACACACGCCCATACCGGGGCCAGGGATAAAGTCTGCAACTGAGGCACATACCGACGCTTTAGCTACTGCAACAAATGAGCTAGGGCAGGACTGTTTTCTTAATTTCTCTTTCTCATAGTTCATTATCCTATACTAGAGGCCTGAAGCACAATATTCTTGCAATGGGGGCAGAGGGTCCCTCAGCCCAGCCTGCACCCTCTCGCAATCCAGGACCCCTCGGGGGATGTCCGACTGCCTGCTCCCCCCGGAGGGGTCCTAGCGCTGCCGCGGAGGTGGGAGGCTCCCGCCACCACTGCTGCACTTGCCAGCCAGAAGCCTCTCTGCCTCCGTGGTAGCGCTAAGGATGTCCGACTGTTAAACTAAGCTGTTAGTTGGACATCCCCAAGGGCTCCCGGACTGCGAGAGGGTGCAGGCTATGCTGAGGGACCCCCCACCCCGAATGTATGAATTTCATGCTTTGGGCCTTTAGTAGGATAAAAGCCTAATATGCTAAGTAACCATTTGTTCAACCATTGACCAGTGCTATGATGCTCACTGACCACCAGGGGGCAGATGCTCCTACTGGTAGGTTAGCTTGCTGCTGGGGATCTGGCCAATCAGGACTGGCCGAGATGTGCTGGACATGTCCTGGAGTCCTCTCATGGTCCTGTCCCGGCCCTGATTGTGCACCAGTGGGGTCCCTCAGCATGGCCTGCACACTCTCACAACCTGGAATCCCTCAGGGGATGTCGGAGAGCCAGTTTCAGCCGATCTGCACAGGCCAGGCCGAGGAGCCCCACCAGTGCACAAATCTGTGCACCAGGCCTCTAGTTGGTGTATAAAAATGCAACCAATTTCTGAATAGTGATTTTATGTCCTGTTACTTTGCTGAATTCATTTATCAGTGCTAGTAATTTTTAGGGGAAATCTTGAGGGTTCTGCAAATGATAGTTTCATGTCTTCTTTTCTAATTTGGATGCCTTTTATCTCTCTTTGTCTGGTTGCTATGGCTAGGACTTCTAAGCTGAAGAAAAGTGGTAAAAGTGGACAGTCTTTTCTTATTCTCAATCTTAAGGTACATGCTTTTAGCTTTTTACCATTGAGTATTATGTTTGCTCTTTTTAAAAGATAGGAAAAGTGGAAAATTTTAAGGACCAAGTTTAGGTAGCAGTTTGGGAACAGATTACAAAGGTAATGCAGTTTCTTCAAAATTATCCCATAATCTTTGGACAGGTATTTATTTGTGGTTGGCTCCATTGCAATTGCATGCATAGGATCTCCCATCCACCACGCATTGAAGGGTTGGCCTTGATGATGTTTTCAATACCTCAGGGAACAACAGCCTAGATCCTACATTACCAGTGACAACATTCCTTACCGAAGTCACTGCTGTCATCCACCAGGATAATTTCATGGAGAAGCCGGGCTGGAGTGCGGTCCAGGACACTGTGCACAGTACGCAGCAAAGCAGACAAGGCTTCATTGTAGAAACAAATAACAACACTAGCGACTGGCAGATCTGTAGGGTATGCCTTGTCTTTACAGCTGCAAAGATGAAGAGAAAAATTCCAACAATTCAAAAGGCTCAAATGTTTTACATTATTATTCACTAAACCTTAACTATGACCTTATTCTGCATCTTCCTTGCACTATAACCATTTTTTAAAAAGCATTTAAGGAAACAATGTGGTTTCTTATATCTGTTAATAACTTCTTCCTCTGATGGTGCTACTCTGCTTATTTTAAACATTTTAAAAACTTTTTTTTTCTTTTTTGGTACATAGGTTATATAAAATCACTGCCAAGTATTTTAAAAATATATATTTATTTCAGAGACGAAGGGAGAGGGAGAAGGACAGATAGATGGAAACATCAATGATGAGAGAGAATCATTGATCTGCTTCCTGAGGCTCCACAATGGGAACTGAGCCCACAATCTGGGCAAGTGCCCTGACCGGGAATCAAACCATAACTTCCTGACACTCAACCACAGAGCTACAATCTCCGGGCTCATTGAAAGTTTTTAATGCAGCATTTGTAAGTTGATATTCAGCTTCTCCTCAGTGAGGTCTCAAAAAGGAAAAATAAATATTAAACTTATATCTGAAAATTCTATTTTTTACTCAGTAATAAAAAAACGTTGGAGTAAGCTATGATATATATCAAGATAATGGAAGAGCTTCCATGTAAGTACCTAATAGTTAGGTGGCTTTATACAACAACAACAAGACCACCGACTTACAGATCGAATCCAGAAATCCACTCTCTTTTGCACGGCACAGAGCGCCCTTCCATTGGCTGGGCCCAGCCTGCTCCAGCCTCTTTTTTTTTTTTTTTTTTTTTTTAATATATTTTATTGATTTTGTACAGAGAGGAAGGGAGAGAGATAAGAGAGCTAGAAACGTCGGTGAGAGAGAAACATCGACCAGCTGCCTCTTGCACACCCTCTACTGGGGATGTGCCCACAACCAACGTACATGCCCCTAACCGGAATCGAACCTGGGACCTGTCAGTCCACAGACCGATGCTCTACCACTGAGCCAAACCAGTTTCGGCCTCTTCACTCTTCCACTACGGCCGAACCGAATCATTTGGGTCCCTGTGACAAACTATATACCTTTATGCCTCAGTCTGTCCCCCTACTCCCTTGCATCACTGCTCAGTCATCACTGAGAAACCTTCCCTGACCACTCCAATTTGGGGGCCCCATTTCACTAGTTTCCATCACAGCCATCATTCTTTGCTACTACAATTATTTGTTTCTTTTTTTTTCTTTTTCTTTTTTTAAAAATTATTTGTTTCTTTATCTCCCCTGCTAGACTTGAAGGCCTGTGAACCTAAAAATGTCTGTTTATTTTTGAGGCCTAATACAGTGTCTAGCAAACAGTAGGTGCTCAAATAATCTATATGTGGAATGACTGACCAACTATCTATAATAATAAGCAAATAATATTCTAATATGTAATTAGAACAGACAGCCGAACAACCTTCCGGACATCATTCCAAACCTCTTTCCGGATGAAGCCACGGTGGCGGGGCTGAGGCAAAGACAGTTAGGGATGATGAGATAAGACAGGCAAGCAGTTAGAAGCCAGTGATCCCAGATTGCGAGAGGCTGCAGGCTGGGCTGACCCCCCTTCCGCCCTGTGCATGAATTTTGTGCATTGGGCCTCTAGTAAGAATGAAAGCCTTTGACAAAACTAAAATACTGAAAACAGAAAAGTTAGCCAGTAAGTCAAATTCTTCACTGATGTATTGGATTCATGGCAAAAAGAAATACATTAACATTTTTAAAAAACTTATGCTCAGATCCTAGCTGGTTTGGCTCAGTTAATAGAGTGTCAGCCTGTGGACTGAAAGGTCCAGGTTTGATTCCAAACAAGGGCACGTGCCTGGGTTCTGGGCTTGATCTCCAGTAGGGGACGAGCAGGAGTCAGCCAATTAATGATTCTCTGTTATTACTGATATTTCTATCTCTCTTTCCCTTCCTCTCTGAAATCAATAAAAATATTTTAGAGAAAACAAAACAAAAAAGCTTATGCTCAGGTTATATAATTACATACAGTTGGCCCCTCTCTTCTTTCTCCACATTATTTTAACTTTTAAAAGGGACACAGCAAGTTCTAGGATTTTGTTGGTAGAGTCTCAGCCCCTGCGGATTCAAATGTCATCAGAGTAGATCTCTGGCTTTAGTTATCCAGTATCCAGAATAACAAAACCCAAATGCACAGTATGAATTCCACCCTCAGACTTCTTACACTGGTACTGACAGCACTGTGCCACTAAACTGATTAGCAGAACCCGAGAGGGACATACGCTGCATTCCTTGTATCTGGCACATCTCTGTGGTAGCCCAAACGGTTGCTAATAAGAAGATTGAAGGCATGCTTCTGATACCCCAAGTCTCTCAACTCCTGATCACGTTCATTAAAAATCATACCTGCAAAAGAGTGAAGTTACAGTCAGTGCATGAAATCTGCAAAAGATTACAATTATTGTTATGTTATGATCTTAAGAAAATCTTGACTTTAAATTCTTATAACCATATAATAGCCATGTTTCTCAATCCATTTTTGAAAAAATTGAGGTTAAAGCCAAATTTGTATCAATCCAGCTCAAAAAGCAAGTGCAACTTAACCATAAATGACATCTTCTTACTATTCATAATCTTAAAAATATCTTCAAAAGAAAAACTTACCTCTGACCAAGAAAAAAAGGAAACTTAATGATTTTTTCCATAAAAGTAGTAATAATTGAACAGGCCCTAGTTACAGACAAGTTCTTACATAAACCCCTTCCCTAAAAAAGACTTAATAAACTTTTCTATAAAGTCATTGGTTCCAGGCTTAATCAGCATCAGTCAAGAAAGCCCTCCGCAGGTCCCTTAATGTAACATCCCTGCTGTAATATTCTGCCCAAAATCTTACCCTGACCTTTTGCTTTCTTTCTCCCATGTCAACCTTTAGCCTCTCCTCAAAGAATGACTCCCTTGCAGCAGCACTTCCCCAGAGCTGGTCATGAAAGCTAATTCTACTGGATATTAACAGATCTTAGGAAGAAAAAAAGGACTCTCTGGTCAAATAAGTGAGGGAAAAGCAGGGTTTTAAAAGTCAAGTAATTTCTTTCATGACAGGAGAACTCCCATCCTGCACTGATGGTGACGTGACCATTCGCCAGGTGTCGAGGGCAGAAGGCAGCGTTCCTCCTTAGTTAGCTGACCAAGTGACCAGAGTCCCCACGCCTACCTTAGGAAACACTACCTCTTTATCCACGTGCTTGCGGGAACTTTTAAAGTTGGAGCACATCCTTTGTTAAACACAAGAGAACAAAGCTCTTTTAGCATTCTGTATAAGGACGAAAACTCCATGAGAGCAAAGGCTGCTATAACAAATTTTTGTTTATTATAGCAGCCTATAACAAACTGTACACAAATTTTTGTTTGAACACCCATTTGCAATTCTTTTGAGTATATACCCAAGAATGGAATGAATTGCTAGGCAATCTGTAATTCTATGCTTATTTACTGAGGAACTGTTTTCCACAGTGGCTGCGCCATTTTACATTCATAGAGCAGTATCTGAGGGTTCCAATTTCTCTACATCCTCACCACTTATTACTTTCCTTTTTAAAAAATTATAACCATCCTAGAGGATGTATCTACTCATTGTGGTTCTGGTTTGAATTTCTGTAACAACTAATTATGTAAAACATCTTTTCATGTGCTTGTTGGCTATCTTCTTTGGAGAAATGTCTATAAAATTGGGCTATTTGTCTTTTCATTCTTGAATTCTAAGAGTTCTTCAAATATTCTGGATAATGGACCCCTGTTAGAAATATAGTTTGCAAACATTTTTCACCCATTTTTTGGGTTGTCTCCTTCACTTTCTTGGTAGTATTCTTTGATGTTACAAAAGTTTTTAATTTTGATGTAGTCCATTTTTTTTTCTTTTGTTGCTTGTACTTTTGGTGTCATATTTAAGAAACCATTGCCAAATCCAAGGTCATGAAGATTTCCTCTAATGATTTCTTCTAAGGGTTTTATAATTTTAGCTCAATATTTAGGTCTGATCCAATTTGAGTTCATTATTATATACCATATGAGGTAAGGGTCCAACTTCATTCCTTTGCATGTGAATATGTAGTTGTCTCAATGCCCTTTGTTGAAAAGACTATTCTCTCCCCATTAAATTGTATTGGCACCTTCTTTTTGTTGTTGTTGTTAATCATCACCTAAGGATATTTTCCCATGATCTTCAGAGTAGAAGGGAGAGGAGAGACAGTGCAATACCCACCGGCTGCTTTCCACCTATGCCCCACCCAGGGCCAGGATCAAGCCTGCTACCCAGGCATGTGCTCTTGACCGGAACTGAACCTGGAGCCCTTCAGTCCAAAGGCCAATGCTCTATCCACTGAGCCAAAGCAGCTAGAGCCTTGGCACATTTTTTTTTTTTAAATCAACTGACTAGAGCTGCCATAGGTTTATTTTATATTTATCAGCCATCCACTAATCTAATCTGTGCCAGTACCATAGTTTTGATTACTATAGCTTTGTAGAGGTTTTGAAATTAGGACATATGAGTCATCCAACGTAGTTCTTTTTCAAGATTGTTCTGGAGACTGCTAAATTTTCTCAAACAAGCTGCAGCTGATGAAAGTGTGCCCCAAATCTATCAATAAAAGGCCCAACACCCAGCACTAGCACCCACCATGTCTTGCTTCACAGCTGGGCCTTGCCTGGGCACCTCCAAGCCCAATACAAATAGAAAATAGCAGATCCCTCCGTAGCTCCTGCTCTGTGACCCCTGGAAGCCCTAGAGGCAGTGCACCCTGAGGACAGCTTCAGACCACAATTCTGTCCCCCACGAGTGATACACTCATGGGGGCAGACTCTTCTTTAAGAAGAGGAAGAGGAAGAAGAGAAGATAAAAATATGAACAATAAAATGGCAACAAATACTAATACATATTTATTAATAATTAAATCTAAACAAATCAAATGTACAAGAAATCTAATGAACAAAATACACTGGTGAATCAAATCAGTACCAAAGCCTCACTGAAGCAAGTCCTGCTCCACAGGGATGGTTCCTGCACAGCAGCGCTCTCTCTGTAGTTGCAGCTGGTCCTCACAGCCAACTGGCTTGAAGGTCAATTCCTCCCAGTGATGCCAACAGCAATTAAGGCTCAACTACAAGCCTGTGCACACAGCACACACAGGGCCACACCTAGAATGCCCAGCTCAGGTGACTGGGGAGATTGAGCCACTGGGCCCTACAGAACACCTACTACACAGGCCACTCTACAATTCCAGGAGACACAGTAGCTCTACCTAGTACACAGAAACAAACAGAGAGATACAGCCAAAATGCAGAGACAAACATGTCACAAATGAAAGAAATGGAAGCCAGCAAACTATTAAATACAAAATTGAAAACCATGGTTATAAAGTTACTCAAGGATCTTCATGAGAATTTCAAGGATCTTAGTGAGAATGTCAAAGACATGAAAAAAGGACCATTCATAAATTAAGCATACACTAAGTGAAATAAAGAATAATTTACAGGGATTGGGAGACTGAGGGTACTGGGGGACTCCAGAGGCAGGCAAATAGAGTGTGCCCTGGCAGGCCTGAGAGGACTGGGCACTACCATCTTGTGGCTGTGGGTGTTGCCATCTTGGGGGGGGGGAGTCAATTTACATATTTCCTCCTTATTGGCTGTGGGTGCTGTCATCTTTGCAATGGTGTGAGAGTCAATTAGCATATCCCCTCTTTATTAGATAGGATTTCTACATGTTTGAACATTTCTTTATGCCGACAGGCTCCACATTAATTTTAGAATCAGCTTTTCCATCTCTTTAACAAAGGCTATGGGGATTTCAATAAAGTTTCCATTTGATCTTTAGCTTGGTTTTGGATAGTACTGACATCTTAACAGTTTTTAGTATTTCATTCTATAAACCTACATATTTAGATCTGCTTTTATTTTTTTCAGCAATGAATTGTAGTTTTCAGTGTACAAATCTTGCACCTCATTAATTAAATTTATTCCTAAGTATTTTATTCTTTTGAATAGTATTCTTGCTGCCAACTTGTACAAAAATACAACTGCTTTTTGCATGTTTATCTTGTACCCTGTAAATTTGCTGAATTCATTTATTAGCTGTAATAGATTTTTTGTGTATTCTTTAGGAACTTTTTGAGAATTTAGTTGTTTGGTGAGGCAATTGGGTTTGTCACTTCAAATAGCTACAATTCTCTCACTGCTTCTTTCCAAAGCAAATATAATAAACCCATTTTATTTCTGAATAAAAGTTTTACCAAAATAACTATGAATAAGAATTTTTCCCACTAATACTCTTAAAATATCTACATGGCTATTTGAAAAAGATTAATGTATTTTATAAAAATTGAAGTATTAGCTTCTATTTCCTCATATTTTAAATACTTTTTTAATTTCATGTATTAAAAAAATCATTAAATCCTAGAAACTTATTTTATTTTTTTGAAACTAAGATACAAAATGTTTTAACATTTCCTTTACATTCTATCTTTCAATTTCTTGAAATATTATTTTATGCTTCCATGATAAGATCAAATTCTTTTTATCAATAAGTTTTAAAGAAAACCAAAATGGCTCATTTATCTCTTAAAATAAAGCTTACTAAAACCAGTACTCGAGAATTATAATATTCAAAAACATATACAGCCTATTCTTGCTATCAACTTGAACAGAATTTTTGAAGAGAAAATCTTGTATTTTGTACTCAGATTTTATAAAATGCTATATTAAATATTTACAGCAACTTAATTCATATAAGCAGAAATTAAACATAAGTAATCTCAAATTACTTCTCAACCCAGTGGGTTTTGTTGTTTTAACTAATTCTGTGACTTAAGAGTCAAACATGTTCCCATATTAAATAATTATAGCAATTAAAATCCTCCCTCATAGGTTCCACTGTCTTTCCAACCCCTTAATTTCTCATTTCCTATTCTGGATCTTACTGGTTTCTCCCAGTCCTCATAAAGTACTGAGTCAGAATTGGACATATTAGAATATAACTCCCCTCTAATTCTACAAAAACCATAGACCTCAGCTAGTTCATGAACAAAATAAACTGGTGTGGGGGGGAAATGATACATGTCTGCTCCCCCAAGCAACACACAACTTAAAGAATAATTAAAACTTAAACTTCCAATGATTAAATACAATGATTAAAAAACATGCTGCTAGCAAAAATCAAATACACTTACCCAATTCAGAAGAGAATTTCATGTTGCCTTTTTCTGCATCTTCAACATGATTATCTACCACATCATCAATCTTGTTTGCTTGGAACTGTAATTCTAATATTCGATTTGGACCTCGGGTAAAACGGGGATAGAATTTTTTGGGGAAAGGCCCATGGGGCCCAGACCCCTTGATGGGCACATTCTTAAGTGGCTGAGTCACTTCACTGAAGTTGAAATAAACAAAAAGCAAAACCGTCCAGGTCGCAGATGTAAAAAGGCATCCATAACAGAAATATCGAACTGTGATGCTTCCCATCATAGACCTAGCATAGCTGAAGGGCCATTTTCAGTTTCCTGAAAGAGAAGGATAGTAAGTCAGACACTTCAGGATATCTGTAAATCTTCCACCAAGTTCATATTCACTGTTTCTCAAACCACCAGTGGCACTTCTGAGCTATTTACTTAGGATCCCTAGGCATACTATTAAAGATTCAAATGGAAGAAAATGTGAATAGCCAAATTAAAAAATAAATGCAACAATTAAAAACACAGGCCAATGAATTAATGCTCAGAAAACCAATGACAGCAAAATAGCTGACTTATTCGCCTGCCCATGTTAATGGGTATTGCTCCACCTTTGTTCTGGATTGCTTTCAGAGTGGTGTGTTTTTTCCAGATTCTAACTTTTAATGAGGGAAATACTAGTCCAACATGTGTCATGACAGTACATCTAAGATCCCTTCCAACTATAAAATTGTAACTCTTTTAATCCCAGGATCTTAAAATCTGTTATTAAAAATAAGCAACTAAAAAAATAGTTCACTTTCTAATCAAAGATTAAACCTACACTAATGCCTACTCTAGATTAAACAGTTACATTTTAAATTTATAACCAAAAGCATTGTGGATGAAAAGGGGCCACATGCTAACCTGACTAACTCAGGACAGGCCTGCATAGTGGTCTTGCAAATAACCACAAAGGATAGTCTGAAATTAAAACCTTTAATTAAAAAGCAGTTTATAGTGGACTGGAGGCCTGGTGCACAAAATTCGTGCATGGGTATGGTCCCTAGGCCTGGCCTGTGATCAGGGCCATTTCCCCTGGCTGCCCACGGCCAGCCCCGCCCCCCGCTGCCCACCCCCTACCCCGAGTTTCCCACTGGCCATCGGGCATTCAGAGCCTTGGTGGGAGAGACACCAAGAGGTTGGCCATTCCCTCTGGCTTGCCGGCCCTACCCCCGCCTCAGGTTGCCCTCTGTTTGGGGCAACCCTTGGAGTGGGGGCCTTGGCCTGGCACTGCCAGGATCCCCTGACACCCACCCCTGGTTCCCCATTTCCCATTAGGCGATGGGAGCCGAGAGGTGGTCAATGCACCTCATAGTGACTGGTCACAGTCATTCTGGTCATTCTGGTCATTCTGCCTTTAAGGTCAATTTGCATATTACCCTTTTATTATATAGGATTGTTATGTCCTAGGCCATTATCTTCTGACAAAGATCAGCATAGATCTTTACTGAGCCTATTGTCTTTTTGAATCTAACATAACAACTTTGGAAAGTCAGAACTACTTTTAACTTCCCTTTTTAACTTCCCTTTTGGAAAGTAGTTCTGACTTTCCAAAGTTGTTATGTTAGATTCAAAAAGACAATAGGCTCAGTAAAGATCTAAGCTGATCTTTGTCAGAAGATAATGGCCTAGGACATAACAATCCTATATAATAAAAGGGTAATATGCAAATTGACCTTAAAGGCAGAATGACCAGAATGACCAGAATGACTGTGACCAGTCACTATGAGGTGCATTGACCACCTCTCGGCTCCCATCGCCTAATGGGAAATGGGGAACCAGGGGTGGGTGTCAGGGGATCCTGGCAGTGCCAGGCCAAGGCCCCCACTCCAAGGGTTGCCCCAAACAGAGGGCAACCTGAGGCGGGGGTAGGGCCGGCAAGCCAGAGGGCACAACAAAAGGCACCAGGTAGAGACTACAAATTCCTTCATTGTTATTATTATCATGTTAATTGTGGACTGTTATCTATCCTGTACCCACCTATGTAAAAGAAGCATGGTGTCTATCATTTCATTTTTTATCCAATCCTAGAGGTTTCCCAGCTTTGCTTTCCCTCACTAATCTATCTCCAATAGATTTCCTGTAACCCATTTACAACTCTACCTTTGATGGTAAAATAGGTGAAAAACCACCATTCTGAGAGCATTATCTCAATTTGTTGAGCTTCTGCTTCCCAGCAATTGTCAACAATTTGGCTCAAATAAACTCACAAAAATTCTTTACAGATATGAATGTTTTCATACATCAACAGAGTACAAATAATTCTACTTCCCCTCTCCTTATGGAGTCCTATAAACATATTCACTATAAAAGAACATTCACAGTTTTCTGTCTCTCTCTCTTCTACTCTCTCTAAAAATCAAAGGAAAGATGTCTCTCCCTCTCCCAGGTATTTTTCTGGGAGGCCACCAAGTTGGTTGCCTTGTTTGAAAAAAAAAAAATCAATGGAAAAATATCCTCGGGTGAGGATTAAAAAAACAAACAAATAACATAGTACTGAAGTTTTCCTCACACTATTTGGTCTTCATGGAGGCCTCACAAAACTTCCCGAGGAATTCTTTGTAAAGAGACCAACATACATACAAAATAGTCTCACAGAAACCCTAGGTAAGTAATGTACAAATAGACGAATTCTACAAAGCGATATTAACATTATTCCTTATTTCTACAGTATGAAATAATTGTAGAAATAGTAGTATTACCACCACTCCAGATCCAAACAAAGCAAATCAGCATTAAGTCCAACTTCAAAAATTAAGCTATTATATTTGTACGTTATGCCGTAAGTCTAGAAGATGGTCGGTAAATAGCTCAATTCTTACCAAAGGAGTAGTTATTTTACCATGTCAATTCAAGGCTTAAAAAACAAACAAAACAACAGCAGCACCAAACAAACAAAAACTCTCCACTACAATAACACCACAGAAACGGGAAATGACTGCAGCTCAGAAGGAAAGTCAGGCACCACTGAACGTGCTGTCCTGCCAGCTGTTAGCAAATGAAAGAAATGCAATAAAAACAACTGCTTTACTTAAAAGTGGAAGAAAATATTCTCTAAGCAATGTGAATGGAGCCATCAAAGCAAGTAAGACAAAAGATACAAATTTGCCCCTTTGCAACAAAAATGTAAAGAATAGAGACATTTAGGTGAAACATTAGATTTTTAAACTAAAACACATTCTAAGTTCCTAAAATATTCACTTGAGAGTAGGCAAAAACAAACAACATCAAAAAAGCACTATTTCTTTAAAAGGCCATGGAATTCTGAAGTTCAATACTAACTATACAGGCTGCTGATTCCAATAAACTATACATCTAAGGAGCCAATCCCTTCTTCAATGCTAAGGGGTAAAATAAGGCAGGGAAGAGCAATATATAATGAGATTTCTACTTAGATTGTTTTCCTCAAACCATTCTAGGCCTTCCCTCTTCCACACTGCCACCTGAAACCCAAACACAGAAGGGAACCATGCAGAGGGACAGAGAAGCCAGAGATGGTAATCAAGGGCTATTCCATCAAGGAGCTCTGTCCAATAGATGGACGCTCTGACATCAATTCACATCTTTTCTTTTACCCCAGTCCACCAGCTTGGTGGGCAATGTCCAGAGCCCTTCAAAACCCATCTTAAAATTTCTTCATTCATGTTCCTCCTATAACCTTCACCCATATTCTATTTAAGTAACCCTGCCCCTACCCTGACTTCATCATCATTTGGAACTCACCTAATAAATAACCTCTTAAATCTTAACTTAAAGCCACAGTCTGACCACAACCCTGACTTCCCAGGGGTGTCATTCTTATTCACACTAATATTACTCTTCAATTTCACTGCAGGCAGTGTCCAGACACTCAACCTTCCCTTACTCAAACAGCTTATATTTCTTTTGTTTCTGTGTCCAGGTACACATCCCTTAATGTCTTTCTTCTTTCCCTATTTGCTTGGAACACGCTGTATATCAATAAATAAAAAAATAATAATATAAAATTACGTCCTAGTGAAAGAGTATGCGCCCGTTGTACGTTGCGTAATTAAAAAGGTAACTCCCCGGTTAACAGGTTAACATATTTTATTGATTTTTTACAGAGAGGAAGGGAGAGAGAGAGTTAGAAACATATATGAGAGAGAAACATCAATCAGCTGCCTCTTTCACATATCCTACTGGAGATGTGCACGCAACCAAGGAACATGCCCTTGACCGAAATCGAGCCCGGATCTTCCAGTCTGCAGGGTGATGCTCTATCCATTGAGCCAAACCAGTTTAGGCAGTCTTTGGGGTTTTATTCTGTACACTGCAAAGAGCTAAGTTCAGCTCAAAAACTCTAAAATGTCTCAAAATCAGACAGTTGTGCGCATCTGTTTTAAGCTAGCTTTTCTCTTTACACATGCAGAAATCCCAGTCGCATTTCTAAATTTTGTATAACTTTTAAGTCACTAGCTGGGGGGGAAAAAGCATGGCAAATATGAGACCTTTTTAAAATGACTTTCTGGGGAGGGGCTTCCATATTGGATCACCACATGTCTCCCTTCCCCCACCTCCTTCTTGCTTTGGGGGGGAATTCAATAATGGTCTGGCATCTGTTTTATTTTTATTTACTTATTTATTTTAGGGAAAGAAAAAGATTTAAGATAAAGAATTATTGGCAGTTGCTGAGAAATTCCTTTAATCCTTTCTACTTAGTTCAGCATAGAACAAGTAACTAGAGCGTCCAACAAAATGAAATATGAAGTCACTTTCGGCCACTGCAAGTAAACCTTTTGATAGATCCTCCCTTCCTCCAGTTGATGGACAGACGTAAGCCTCATCTGCAGCCAGACATTCCTGAGCTCTGAACCACCCATCAGCACCTGCCAAATACCCTAAGCCCCGATTCCTAAGTCCCTAGGTCCCTAATCACCCATCAGCATGTGCTGAGTTCCCTAAGCCCCGCCCCTTATCCTTAAAGGTGCTTGTACCCGGGCCCTCGCTCTCTTATGCCCCTCTGTGGAAGCAGCCGGCAGGGGTACCCTTCCCTCCAATAAAGCCTGTGTGTGTCCTGCCATCCCGGTCTCCGGCGACCTTCTCTATTTCATCTACCACCTTTCTTATCCCGCTGTGATGCCTGTCCTGCTCTGCCTCAAACTCTAGCTCCTGCTGGTTAAAGGTAAATCTTTATCAGGTGGGCTCTTGACTGCGGGCACAGGAGCAACAGGCGAAGGCAGAGGAGGCACAGAGGGGGGAAGTGGTATTTTTAGGGATTCATACCCTCCACTG